CCACGCTTGATATCAGAAACGTCTTGTGCAGCAGAGCAAATTGCGAATGATAAGCTTCGACCTTGTGCAGGCATAACTGAAACACCCGGAACAACAACATAGCTCAACTTGTTCATTTGAATGATCACGGCGTTCGGGCTGTTGTGAGTAAGCTCCAAAGAAACAAAAGCCAAGGTCTTTTTCTTTTTTGGCAAACTTTTTCTCCAACCAAAGCTCTTTTTTTCTATTTGATTTGCACCAATCTTAGAGCGTTCTGCATTCAAGTTTTGAGTAGGATGGGGTGTCTTGTTTTTGCGCACAATTTGAATAGTGGGCTTTTTCTGGTCATTCGATTTGAAGTTCATATAGTGGGACGTTCCTTAATTTCTTTTGGAATAATACCAAACACCAGATTTTGAATGTTGGGCTAAACTCACAGCAGAAAGATAATCAGCCTTCTCTTTTTTCCAAAGAAGGGTGGTCGTGTTTAGGTCATAATAACCGTTTTTGATAAGCTCAAGATTCAAGTCCTTACCATTGGCATCAAGTATTTTTGCATACACTTTGTCATTTTCTTTATCTGCAAGCACATATACTTGTTGGTTAATAAGTCCCGATAGCACAGAAGTTGCCAAATCAATGCTTTGCTTATGGATTCCTTTTGGCAGGTAAACATGCAATAAAACAACTGTGATGTTTTTTCCAGTAAGCTCGTCTTTAACAACTATGGTGGTAGGATCAATTACGTTGATGATCTTTCCACGCCAAACATTATCCTTATTTTCACTGTAAGCTTGATACAGGGATTTAAACCATGTAGGGCTAAAGATAAACGGTGAGCTTGCCTGAGCATTTGCGGAACCAAAGATAATGCAGGCAGTTATACAGCTTACTGTTATTTGTTTAACAAACTTATTAAGTTGCATAACTTTCTCTCTAATTGGTTTGAGCATTAGGCGTTAAATAACACACCGCAATTTAGCCATATAAATAACATGAAACTAATTTATATTTATGATTCAGCCTTAAAATGAGGTTAAAAACCCCATTACTCTTAAACTACTGACGATGTGGAACTATTGATATCAACAATGTTTATTTTTTCCTCAGTATTAATAGGAGTGTTGGTTTCCTTATTAATCCCATTTTGTACAGTATTGATTTCAGTTTTAAGTGCCAATTGATTGCGGGCGATTTCTGCTAATTCTTTTTCGCGTTTTTCATAGCGTGACATGAAATCATTGCCCAATATTTCTTTGGCTTTGTCATAACTTGCATTTCCAAGTTGCGCAAAAATGGCAATATCGCTACTGCAGTCCCACTCACCAGTTTCACGCTTTACGTAAAACGTAGGAAGTTTGTTAATTGTTAAAACAATCATACTTTCAGAAATGTCTGTTTTAACCAAATTGTATTTTCTGCCGAATTGAGGAGAATTGAAGAGAGCCTTTGAAAGTCGGTTGAAGCGTAACCATGCAATAATTTCTTCAACGGTATCTGCTTGGAATTCACGTGGCTCAGGCTTATTTGCGATAGCAACAATAATTGAGAAAATTAGTTTTGCCTGCGTCATATCAAAACCAAACCGCAAGTGAATATCGTCACCATTTTCTGTATGGACTTTAGAAATAGTAGAGTATTGCATATCCTTGTCTCCTTAAATTTGATGAAGGTGTTTAAGGATACGGCTGCGATACTCAATAGCGTCTGCAGTATTGATATGAGCACCAGATTGGTAAATAGAGCAGAGTCGAAGCACTACTTGAAGTAATTCTGGATCAGCACTCAGCGCATTGTATTTGCTACGCAGGACTTTACTTAGGTGATAGTCTTGTTCAACGACCATTACTAGATCATCGGCGCTTTCAAGATGAACGGAAATCTGATACGGGCAGTCTTCTAGATTGTTCAACTGGCTTAATTCAGTAGATTTGATTTGGATCTTTTTTGCGATATCTGCAAAATTATCCAAAGGAAGGCTTTGTTCTTCAAAGCGTCTTGGCTCGACATATTTCATATGATATTACCTCTGTTTGTATGGTTAAAATAATATCACATTTATGTACAATGTATAGTAAAAATCATGAATATAAATATATTTTTCCCAAAAAAAACGCCTTATATAAGGCGTTCTTTTCTAATGGTTACTTCAATGATTGATAGACTTCCCGCACTAACTTATCCTTAATCGTATGTTTCCGTTTTTTCAATGTATAAAACGGGTGAATATCCATTACCAATAGCATGGCAGTCCACACGGTTGATGTTGAAACACGCACTGATTGCTCATATTTGTACCAAGCATCGAATGAAAGATCCAGGGTGGAGGATACGTTATCAATGCCGCCAAACAAACTGCGCAAAAGGATATAAATATAAGGATTTGAGTTGCTGCCGATGTAAAGATTTTCAGCACTTCGTGGCGCTACGTTACTTATTAACTGGGCAAGCTCATTAGGATCAATCGTTAATTCAGAGAATGCATCCAAATAGAAGCGCAGGCGTTCATTGAATACCTCTGCTTTAATTAATTTTGAAAAGATGGGTTGGTGGTTCTTTTGGTTATCCAAGGCACCTAAAACCTCATCAAAGGTGTTGTACTCATCGAGATGATTTCCCTTGGAGTACCATGCCTTAATTTGATCAATAATCTGCGCTTGATGTAATATGGCCTTACTATGAGATTCCATCACTTTCTTAATTTGAAAGTATCGCAGATCAATAGGAACCAATAAGCCCTTGGTTTTTTGTGGTGTGGTGAATAAAATTTGCGATAAAGCTGATTTGTTCTGGCGCTCATCAATTCGAGGCTTAACTTCAAACTGTGGGTGAAAACCAGAACTGAGTAAAAGCATACCCCAAGACAACGGCGAGGGGATTGAGCGCCCATTCAAGTATTTAGACAGCGCACTATTGCTACTCACATTAAAGAATCGAATAAGATCTTCTTCGCTGAACATGTTAAAGAAGAAGCGATAAGATAGTGGTGACTTGGGTGCCTCTACACGAAGAAGGGTAGATGACGTATCACTATATCGTCCGAAATCCTTGATAAGCATTTCGCTAATAACAGTCAGCTTGCCATCCACATCAAAGGTATCCGGATAGAATGCCAAGGCTGCACCATAATATCTTAAGTTACTTGCACCTAAATCATCTATGAATTTGTTGACAGCATCAGCAAGTCGAGACTGAATTTCGATGAGTTTGCTATGATTCAGTCTGACTTGTTCTGTATCAATATGATTTAAACCATAGAATTCTTCATAGTGAGTGTGGATTTCTTTGGCAATAGGGAATAAACCATACTGATCTTCTTCGCCAATTGCTGCAATAGCGATAGCTTTTTTAATATTTGGTGAGCTATAAATCTCTTTTTTAGTAGGGTTTTTTTCCAATAAAAGTTCTTTAGCAGCAAAAACATCAGCCTTGCTGTAGCTCGACTCTAGATTAAAAATAACTTTCATAGGTTTATAACTCGAAATATAGCCATTCAATAGCATATTACTATACTCTGTACACTTTCACAAACCGCGCACATATCACGAAATGCCCTGTTCTTCCGAAACTGCTGTGGTTATCTCGGTTCTATCTTTAAGTGAAAGAGGACTCCACCCGTCAGTCAGGGTGGAGGTGAATTTCACAGATTTTAACCTTGTTGGTTTTGAATGTATTTTTTAATAATGTCCAAAGGAGTACCACCACACGACCCTGCAAAATATGAGCGTGACCACAAAACAGGTTTTGCATAACTACCACGTAAATCTAAAAACTCATTCCTCATTTTTCTGCTTGTTACTGATTTTAAGTTATTTACCAATTTACTGAGTTGAACTGTCGGTGGGTACTGAATAAGCATGTGAACATGGTCAGCTTCACCATTACATTCCTTTAATTCCGCATCAAATTCTTTGCAAATTTCCGCTACACACTCACCGAAATACTTATGATGTAGATCATTTAGAATTTTCTTTCTGTACTTGGTAATAAATACTAAATGTACGTGTAAATTAAAGGCTGAATGTCGATTTTTATATATTTCAGTCATTGTTTGAATGCTTGCTTAATGCTAGTATTTATACATATTAACACATACACACTCATTTATGAAAATCAACAAAGCGTATAAATTTAGGCTTGAGCCTAATGCGGAACAGGAACTTGTTTTAAACAAGTTACTTGGATCTGCACGTTTTGTTTGGAATCAAATATTAGCTCTCTCATTCGAGATGCTTGCTAAAAATGAACGAATCAATAAAGTCAATTTAGTCAATAAAATCCCTGAACTACGCAAAAAGCCTGAATGTACTTTTTTAGAAAACAGTTCAAATGGTGTTTCACTTCAACAAAAAGTGCGTGATCTTGGTGATGCTTGGGCTAAATTCTTCGATAAAAAAGAACAAGCCAAACTAAAGCAAAAACCATTCAAAGCTAAGAAACCAAAATTCTTTAAATTGGCTGATGGCAGTGAAGTTCAGCTTCGACCACTCATGCCACGATTTAAAAAGAAATCCGATGGTTATGATTCAATTCGTATTGTTCAATTTGGTAGATATTGTTGGGTTAAAGGCAACCAGGTTAAGTTGCCTAATGACATTGGTGTTGTGAAATTCAGAAAGTCACAAGATATTTTAGGCGAGATTAAGAACGTCACAATCTCAAAGCATGTTGGGAAGTGGTATATCTCTTTTTGTGTTGAAAGCACAGTAGAACCCCCTATCCACTCATCAAAATCAGCCATTGGTGTTGATCTTGGCATCAAAAAATTGGTGACAACCTCAACAGGTCAGGTATTCGACCCGATCAATAGTTTTAAAGCCAATCAAGTCAAATTGGCTAGGCTTCAACGTAAGCTAAAAAAGAAAAACAAATTCAGTGAAAATTGGAAAAAACTTAATTTAAAAATTAACAAGTTACACCATCATATCGCCAATATTCGGCATGACTACTTACACAAAGTCACCACAACGCTCAGCAAAAACCACGCAATGATCGTAGTTGAGGACTTAAAAGTAGCCAATATGTCGAAGTCAGCGAAAGGCTCAATCGAGAAAAAGGGAAAGAATGTTAAAGCCAAGTCCGGCTTGAACAAATCAATTCTTGATCAAGGTTGGTCAATGCTTGTTGATATGTTGGAGTACAAACAGCAATGGCGAGGTGGTTTACTCGTTAAAGTTGACCCCAAATACACAAGTCAGACTTGTAGTTCGTGTGGTCATGTTGCAAAAGAAAACAGGCTTACTCAAGCAAACTTTAGTTGTGTTTCATGTGGCTTTAGCGAGAATGCGGATATAAATGCTTCTCGCAACATTTTAGCGGTAGGACATACCGTTTTGTCTGTGGAGGGTGGATGCGGTAAAGGTCGCCCTGCGAAACAGAAAGCAAGTGAAATCCGTGAGGAAGTCACCTAAGAGCTTTTGCTTTTAGAATCCCCCACTTGAACATCGTGAAAGTGGTGGGAGTATGTCAACTGTGGAGTTGGATTTTTATTGCTTGGTTTTTGGCTTCATTTGTAAAAACAAAATCTGAATCATGTATTTTATGACCAAAATGTTCCTGGTTATTTATATGAGTAATGTAGAAAATAAGCCTAAAAATAAACCCATGCACTCTGAGTCGAGTAGTGACAACCTAGAGCAGGCAGTAAAGTCCAATGAACTCACAGAGAAAAATCTTGTGCGTCTTCTTTCGGAAATCCGAGATGAGAAAGAGCACAACGATGTTGTGGAGCATAAGCCATTTGCTGAGCGGGTATTAGAAAAGAAAGGTGTATTTAATCTTCTTTATAAAAAAATGCCATTACGCTATATAGGGATTAGTTCATTCTCCCAGACAAACAAAACAATAATGGATTCTTATGCAAGTTTTAAGAGTCCAACATGCCCTAAGTGCTGCGCGGCAATTTTAATGTACAACAAACGCTTGTCGTATCGCGATGGTACGGTAGATTGGTTCTGTGCTGATAATAAGTGTGGTTTCACCTTAAGATATAGTCCAAAAGGGGCGGAGATCAAAGAGCATGTTCAGGAGTTGAGCCTTTCTCTTAATTCAAATCGTTGGAGTTCATTATCCGAAGATGAGAAAGAGCAGTTAATTTCTTCGCATTTTTCTAAGGCCTTTATTTACCGAAATATCGCAATGTTGTTTTCACTTGTCCTTATTGCAGAGTTAATGTTTGGCATGTGGATGGTTGCCTTTATGACAGGGGCGCTTGTGTTTTCTATCTTTATACGTGCCTTGTATTGGTGTTATCGAGCTTACCAAATCAAAACGGGTAAGGTGTTTGATAAGCGTATACCTTTCACCGATTGGATCACTACTGCGGATAAGTGGTTTAGCGTGGAATGGGTTGATGAATTAGAGGACAATGGTGATTCTAATGAATAAGCATATAACCTTATGTTTGTTGTTGGCCTTAAGCCCTAGTGCATTTGCAAAAGGATTTGTGATTAATTATTACGGTGCACAAGAAAAAAAACAAAAACCAATAGAACCGCAGCCTGTAGAAAAATCCGCTGCGAGTGAGAAACCTAAGCCTACATTAATAATTCAAGATAGCAATGATACGACTCAGGACGTTAAGCCGGCATCGAATAGTTATGCTTGGACGCAGGTAGGGCGTTTAAATGAATCCTATCATAACGATATTAGAAAAGTTGTTGAGGGTGGTACGTACGCACAACAAGTCTATCAACCTAAAATAGACAATATTTCATATACATCTTCAAGTAATGGATTTTCAGCCCCTAGTTCAAGCGGCAACCGAAACAGCTATGATCACATCATTCGATCAGCCTCTCAGAAGTATGGGGTTGATACAGGGCTGATCAAAGCGGTTATGCATACCGAATCAGGATTTAATATCAATGCTCGTTCCCCAGTCGGTGCACAAGGCCTAATGCAATTAATGCCCGCGACTGCACGGCGTTTCAATGTGAATAATGCTTACGACCCCGCACAGAATATTGACGGCGGAGCACGATATCTTAGTTGGTTGATCAAGCGTTTTAAAGGTGATGTTCGTTTAGCACTTGCCGGATACAACGCAGGCGAAGGTAATGTAGATAAATACAATGGCATCCCGCCTTTTCGCGAGACACAAGATTATGTACGCCGTGTTTTAACTCGCTACAATTCACTGTATAAATACAGCCTGTAAAAATTGGGCAAGGATGAGACTTGGTGGAAATAGAAGAACAGTCAGATATTGAGCGTGTATTGGTCATTTATGATGACCTAATACGCGGCACTGATACCAACGATGCAATTGTCGTATTGGATGATCTTGCTAACCAGGGGAACTTATTTGCGGCGTATGTATTAGGGTCGTGCTACATCTTCGGGATGCCTCCGCGCCATTATGATTTTAATCGCGTATATTCGAAAGAGCAGTTTACGAAAACAGCTCTAGTTCCTAGAGATGAACGTAAGGCTTTTGGTTACTATTTTCAGCTTCTCAATTTTGATAATAACGTGGAGCAATATCAACTTGAGGGTGTTTATGATTTTTACCGTATTCTAAAAGGTGTGGCTCCTATATTTAGTCAATTTGAACTTGAGTTACGGCCTAAGCCGGGTGATGATCATAATGACTTTTCAGTATTGTTTGATAATGCAGATGACCTATTGGGTATGCTTAAAGAATTTGATTACTATGAAAGTTATATTGATATTGCAAAATTCAATATGCAGCTATTTAAGTCATCAGATGAAAAGGAGTACTTAGATACCGCGCTTTTATATATAGACAAAATCCTTAAGCCAAAAGGTCGGGTTTTTTCACAGGCAGATGATCTGCAGGCCACCCTACAATTAATTGATATTTATTTATACGGTAATAGTTATATCCCTGCTGATCCTGCGATGGCAAAATCACTTGCGATAGAATCCAATTCCGACCATGCACTGATAATTATTCTGAATTATCTTGAAGCAAGCAATGTTATAGACCCGGTAGTATTGGAGCCAATTCTCACAAGGATTGTAGATAACGGAATACGCTTTGAGCAACGTAATCGGTTTAATTTACCTTACGCTATAAAACCAACAGATCGTTTAGCAAAAATGTGGTCTTTATTTGGTGTGAAGACACCAATAATGTCAGACATACATCAATCGACAGCATCCGCAGCAAGGATGTTTGAGACAGAACACGACAATGATGCAACAGGTAGTACAACATCCGATAGTGATAATGCCAATGATGAGCATGGCAGTGATGACCATCAAGAAGAGCAGTTGAATCATCAAGAAATTGCTGAAAGTGCAGCTCAAGCTCAGGATAGTATTCGTTTTCTATTGTCAGGGGAAAATCTTACGGATAGCGTTGATAATGCCGTAGATGATTATGAGGACGACGAAGATAACGATGATGACTTTGATGAGTTTGATGACGATGAAGAAGAGCAGTTTTGTGATTATGATGGTTAACAAGTTTAATGTAGAAAGTACTAAGAGCTATTTTTGATCTTTTGCTAATAACTCCATATGTGAGCTATTTATTTTGTTGAAGCGCTGTATTTCTTCGCTATGCTCGTAATCAGATAACCAGTTTATAGTAGATTTATCCAAAGCATCATTATTTAACACAGAGATTGTCTGATGCTCTATAGCCTCACTAATTTGGCTTTGTTTACTGTAGCTTAATGATTGTTCAATCTTCGAATTTGGAAATAAAAGATTGAATGCTTTCTTTACGTGTAGATGGTGTTTGGAGAATGAAGAAAGGTTGTCCAAGTGATGCTCTTTGTTCTCAAGTGATAAATCTATCGCGCTATAAAACATATCCAAGCTGTAATCTATGCCGTAGTTTACATACGCATCATATAGTGTAAATGCAAAGTTTTCTGGCTTTATTGCAAATTTATGCGGAGACTTGTGGCCTAGCAATATAATGCTAAATGTTTCGGAGTGATAGGTATAAAGAAAATCGAATAGCATGTTGATAATGCGCACATCCGGGCGAGAATATATATCTGGAATTATTAGGGCAACTTCCTTTTTTTCAGAAATGAGTTTGGCCGCGAAATTAAGCGTATTCTCTAAAGACAATCCTGCATAAATATTTGTTTTTAACAATGGTATCGCTGAGTTTAATAATGCTGCAGATTCTAAATCAAATGTTACTAGATTCTTAGCATCTCTTTCACTGTACAATTTGGACGATTGTAAGATTGCACCGTTGAGCAATGAATGACTTAAAGCTCTTTGGTTTGAAAAGAGGGCAGCAGAGCAAATATTTCCGTGTTCATCAACTAATGGCTTAAGCAGCCCGCCTTTGTTCCTAACTGATTTTGGTATCAGGGCATTAGGGTTGAACTGTCCTTCATCGACAAGATTCTTAAAAGTCAGGATCTCATCATGGTTGAAAGAAGCATGAGGCAACCACTCGAAGAATTCTGTTAAAACCGTTGATTCAGGGTGTAGGTGATGCACATTAGAATAGTCAACTAAATGACGCTGATCATAATGGAACTTATCGTGAACGGAATTAGGTATATCAATCTCATTCAGTCGTAATTTGTATAAGTCCTTTGACCGATCATATTCATACAACATGTACGCATGGGAAAGTACACGCAATGGGTGGTCTTCACTAAGAGAGTATAATTCTTCCATTTCCGTTAGCTTTAATACATTGGGATTTAAATTTAGTTCTAATTTTTCGATCATTTGATTTAGCGTGAATTTTTCACTCTTGTCTAATTCAAAAAAATGAATAATTTCTCCGTGGATATTTAAATTGTTTTTATAGCATTTCAATGTGGATTTATTACGTTGGGTATTATCGTAACTGTCAATTACATAGAAAGACGTACCTTCATGGAGCGTATCGGCATAGACGAATTTTGCAATACTATTCACATCAGCATCATGAAACTCTGAAAGATATTGAATTAATATCTCCCATATATCATGTTCTGTAAGGTTATCTCTTATTGCCATTCATTGATACTTTGTCAAAATCATACATAGGGACGTAAACGCCGTGTTGTATGTAGTTTAATTCTATTTGAATTACAAATTACATTTAAACCAGTTTTCATCGGTGAATTCCAACTGGCATGCTGAATTAGTAAGCGATTTTGATATTTAGAACAAAAAAATATGGTTAAACCTAAGAAGGGATTCAGAAGTCGTACATAGAACACAAATCTTATTGGGAATGGGAAAACACCCCGAAGGGTGTTTTATATTTAGTCATTGTAGTAGCATTTAGGCCTAAATCCGGTTATGAGCAAATACACATAGGCAAGAACTACGGCAACTTGGCGTGAATAATTAATATTCGTACTGCGTATATTAAAGTTTAAGTCTATATCGTAAAAACTCAAAATAAAGGAATGATAAGTGATGCCATTAAATTCTAAAGGGTGCGCTTCTTGTTGTATCTTTATGTTTTTTCTGTAATTGATAATGTCATTGATGAACCATTCAACTACTTCTACTTGATAGGGATTATTTACAAGCAAACAAGAATAAGTTTTTTTTATCTGGTCAAGGAATAATTTTGCTTCATTGATTTCTTTTGAAGAATCCGGATTTAGAACATTCCAATCTATAGTGTGAAAATTGCCATCCACCAATAACTCATAAGTTCTTGATGCTTCTTGTTTTTTGAAAATAGGATGCTCGTATAAGGTGTTATCTAAACAAATTTCTAATTCATCATTAGTATTCGCGGGTCTAGGGCTGTGCATTTCCGATGGTAATAAGTTTACTAAACGTTGTTGTATGTAACTGAGTTTGGGGTGATTTGCTGTAGGAGTGAAGGCCTTGGTTCTAAATAAATTAGGTAAAAAGCCAGGATAGAATTCATGCAGCAGCTCACCGAAGAAAGTGAATCTGTAATTGGTGTCATCATTTTTATTTTCAGAAGGATTAAGTAGATTAAAATTATAATGATAACCATTTGATACACCACTATGTCGTTCAAGAATATGTTGGTCTTTAGAAATTACTCCATTTTTAATAAAGTTAAATGGATATTGTACACAGTCTTCATGAAGTTGAACGGCATTAATGTTTATGTAAATCACATCATCTGAGTGTTGTGAGGAGTCAATGAATGCATTTGCAAAGGGAGGTGCGTTTTGAATTATTTCCAATAAATGAAAGCAATCATCCATGAGCGGGTTTGGGTGTCTTTTTCCAGTTAACATTTTATCTCTCTATACAATTAAAAATTAAAAGAAGCTTGTTCTTTAGGAAGCTTGTTATTTAGATTTTACTATTTATGGAAGTATAGATAACAATTCAGCCTTATTTTAACCAAAAATAAATAGATGACACTCGCTAACCATGTGGTTAATTTCCTGTACAAGCAAAGTACACATGATATTCATCATTTAGATCAAGTATTTAATATTTTTTTTGTTGATTTTTTGGACTAATCTTTTGCAAGCACTATGCGCATTTTTAGGCATTCGGGTATTTCTGACTGAAAAGCATTGATCGTACTTCAATTCTAGTAAATTAGGGTTTAAAGCATTCTTAGAAACAAATGCACCAAATGTCCCCCTGATATCTTGTCCATTCACTCTAAACGCCATATACGCACCCTCAATCATCATTCGATTATAATTTGTATATAGACAGTGCTGAACTTCATAGGCCTCTAAAGCAGCCTCAGAGCTATTCTGTATTAACTGGAAGTCAAACCCATCAATACATTCCGTTATATTTGGGAAAGGGTAATTAATATTCTCTATATTTTCTAAAACTCTAATTTTGTGCCACTCTTCACTTTTTCTTTTAATACTTTGTAGATTTGAATTTAAAGCAATACCATAGATATTTGGAAGTGTAAGCATTTCATTTTCTGTGCGGTTAAAGAATAAGAAATGTGTGTAATCAGCCAAAATATGTGTTTGTTCAATTTCGACAAAAAATTCAGATACCTTTTTAGTTTTGTTCCATGAAATCAAACAGCATTCATAGGTTAAGCTTAATGCTTTATAAAGCTTATTTAAGTCGTTTTGCTTATCAAAACCAGTAATCTTTTTCTCTGACAACCAAAGAGTTTTGAATACGCCGATTGCACACCACACATTCAATTTTCTGGGTGCAAAGGTTGATCCCAACCAATTTAAAATAATTATCCCTTTTTGTGGATTCTGGTTAATAAATATTGACATTACTTTCAAAAATAAGGTTTTAGGCAGCTTAAACAAGAGGTGTAAAGCTTTTTTAGTTAATATGAATGAGCCAAGGTCATCAGATTTATAATTTCTATTAATAAGTATAAATTTAATTCTGTTATCATTTCCAAAAAAATTATCATCATTTACATATTCCGCAAAATAAGGGTGATTTAAGATCAGGGAAAAAAAGATAAATTTATTAGCGTTTTCTTGCTTCCATTTAACTAAACGCGGCATACTCTTATTGACAGTGCTTGCGGCTTGAAAACAGTTTTTTAAACTAAAACTAATACCAGTTCCTTTTAATAGTTCGAAGAAGTCTTTATTAATTAATTTTATCACTATCTGATTGATCTTTCTTTCAGTATCAAATCTACGATAAATATTAATGTAGTGAGGATTTCGCAATGTTTTTAGCCATTCGGTTCTTTCCTTTTTGGTCTTGAAGTGGGGTTCTTCTGTAAACTTCCCGGAATAGGGCAATGAAACAATATTTTCAAAAATATGTAATAGCTTTAAGTAGTTATGCTTAATTTCATCCTCAAGAGAATCGTAGCTGTCATTCCATACGTCACGGTTATAAGCAGATATGTAGTCATAAGTGACACCGAATACATCCTCAAATGCCATTTTAAAAATCAAACTTTCGGCATTTTTCATTGATGATATTTGATGATCTTTTGCTCGCCAAAAATCAATTTTGGAGAAAATCCAATTGATTTTCCATTTCTCATCTGATGGTGGTATTTCAATCCATTCCGAACCTTGCAATACATAACATTTGGGAACAAGGTCATTGTCTAAATTGGATAATCTATACTTGTTAAATATAATGAAGTCATTACAGTCTTTATACGTTTCTGAGTCTTTGAGTAGATAAGTTTCCTGATAAAGATAATGGTTTACTCTCTCCAACCATTGATTAAATAAATTTTCAACAGGTTTAATGCAGCTTACTTCATCTAGATTATATACATAATCATCGGATAACATTTGTGACACTTTGCCTATTAAATCTTTATAATGGACTCTAGGTGATTCATTAAACATGTTCATTGTGTATTATCCAAATTATTTTAACTGATTTAACTGAGAGTTTGGAGAAAGCTATCCCACCCATAAATTTAGTACCACACTAAAAAGCTGGATTATATTTTATGTCTATAGTGTTTTTAATATCAAGCAATTGATTGCTTAATTTAATTGTACTGTATATCTAGCCTTTATTACCTTCATTCGCCTTACTTCTAATCTAATAGTGTAGACAGTGAAGTTTTTATTTTGTTA